ATGGGCCCCATTCATGCATCCATACACAAGATCCTTGTGTGTGAATCCTGTGGTGAGTGTAGGTCTGCCCTGCCCACACTACCCAGACACAGTCCTCGGTGACCCCAAACGGGTTTGTTTGCTGGGAGGTTGGCAGGATGCCAACAGTATTTCAGGTTGAACAAAAAGAAGATGAAAACATGAGAGGAATAAGGTCAGACTGATCATAAAGCCTTATGCTGCAAGAGTGCATGAGTGGTTATTACTAAAGAATTTTCCCTAAAAAACATTAAATAACAAATTCTCCTCAAACAATATATAATATATAACAATATATCAAATAATCCCTGAGATGTTAAGATGCTTCTCATTTAGGTACTTTTACAAATGCATGCAGAATAAAGCTTTTCATGGTAACTGGCCTGTTTTTATAGCACCTTCTTCTGATTCTACAACCCCCCCAAGTCTCTTCACAACACAATCAGTCATTCACCCATTCTCACGTTGGTGATGATGAGCTACGATGTAGCCACAGCTGCATGCTGAGCACCTGACCCTAACCACCAGCAGACAACCTGGGTTACATGTCTTGCCCAAGGACACAACAGCAGCATTCACTGGTTGGAGCTGGAATTGAACCTGCAACCTTCAGATTACTGGACAACTTGCTCTGCCTCCTGAGCTACTGCTGTCCTGTTGTATGTTTGATGCAACACAAAAGGGGTTGCATTCCATTCCTATAACTGTACATGCCAGCCAAGCAGAAACCGAGGACACCCAGAACTGATCCCAACACTGAATTTCTAAATATTGCAGTTCCACCAGAAGTGTGCAAATCCTCATTGACTCCCGTGTTCAAAATGCCCATTTCACAGCAGAAATAAACACGCTTACAGCCTAGTTCAACAAACCATTTGAGTTTTGATGGATCTAGTTAACATTCATGACAACTCTGAGGGGGGTGAATTTTTTTGCAACTTGTGTTGAAGTGGAATTAAATTCTTAAAATTACGAACAACTAGACTTGATTGACAGGGAGGGTCAAAGCTAGCTCCGTGGAAGGTCTCAGCCTCACGTTAATAGACGTTGAGCCATTTTGACTCTCTGAACTTATTTGTGTCCTCTGTGTGTTTGGATGTTAGACATGGAAATAGTTGGACAAAGAGGGCAAGCTGTGGTATCGATTGTACTAATACATCATTATTTTGCTGGTTGAATGGGGGGCAAATGCTATACATTTAACATAAGAATGCTTGATCAAAGATGGGTTGAAGCATAACTTGTTAGTGGGGCTGGCTGGGCACCGAAACTCAAGCTATGTAAATTGACCAAAGCTAGCTAGCTGAGGCTCCGGGGCTTCGCTGGTTCACTGTGGTCAAAGATTTGCGAGGTCACTGCTGCAGGGAGGCTTCCCGAGTTTCAGTAACGTGCCTCTCCCTTTAACAGCGGCGGCCCTGCGATCAGAGATCTCCGAATTTGCTGCTTCATCACTGCAATGTGGGCACCCGGCATCTCCTGTCTCTCGGCCGGGAACAGCTGCTACACACAGGCGGCAGCATGCTCCCATCTCCCGAGGGGGCCGAGACGCACGGCCACCTCAGCCCAAGGAATCGTTGGAAGTCCAGAAGAACCGATAGGTTCCAGATGGAATGTGTAGATTATTATTTTAGACAGTGGCGGTTCTACATCGAATTACTCCCCGGGCGAGGCCCCCTTTGAGCGCCCCCCCACCACCACACCACCCCACCTGCATAAACACACGCATGTTTTCTACAAACAGGCATGTTTTATTAGAACGACTATTGAACATTCATTTTTCTAAGTTGCACATATTTACATTAATTACTATGAAGTTGTCAGAATGTAAAGCAATACACATTATATACTGTATCAAAATATATAGAATCAAATATACAAAAACAAACAATAACTAAATATTAAGACAATATGAACATAATATATAATAAATATTCTGAATAGCAAAAGTATTTCACACATAACAAACTAAAGATAATCACTACAGCATTGCACTTAGAACAGAAAACACAAACTAAAATTAAAACCTAACCTTGATGCAACGTCATCAATAATGTCATCATATGAAATCTGCTCCCCTACTGAGTGATTGATACTAATCAGAGCCAGGTTAGTGAGCCGCCCCTGAAACATAGTTGACCTCAGGTATGACTTGATCAAGTTTGAAAAGCTCCTCTCAGCTAGAGCCACAGTGACTGGCAGAGCAGTCCAAAAGTTGGGGTAGATCTCCAATAGATCTCATGATCCATGATATTTTAGAATTGCCTCTGAAATTGTAATTTAAACTGACATAAAAAACTGTAGACTAACAAAAATGCCAACTTTTACAGAACAAATCAGGTAAAAAATAACCAGTGCAGCCATCTGCAATAAATAAACAGGATAGTTAGTGGTGACTGGGGAGTTTTCTTCTGCTTGTAGAATTGTTTTATTTATTATTATGTGAACATGATCAACATGTGTTTGTTGTTGTTCAGGCAGGCCACAGGCTGCAGCGAGCATTTAACAAATCCTAGTTTGAATCAGTAAAAAATGATTCAAGGACTTTTTTCGAACCATTTGAATATTCGTTTCAATATTTCAGCTCTATTAGCTCTGTTAGCCATTAGTTGACCGCATTTAACCGTTAAAATCCCAGTTAACTGGTTCAAAAAATTGAAAACATGCATCATGAGAGCGAACATACCTTTATTTTTCTCCTCTTTTTTTTCCCCCTGAATGGGGCACCTGGTGGTTTTAGCCTTTTTATGTTCATCTCTTCTGTTTGGTTCCTGACTCAGTAAGTTTCCTTTAGTCAGGACTAAACAATTTGACCTTAATGGGGGGTGACCACAAAATCGTTTTGTTTTTCCTTTTTTTATTTGGCCATTTCACACAATTCAGAGAAACCTGAAAGAATGATAGGCCTGTGTTTATGATATTATGAATGAAATATGGAAGAACGTTAAGATGTGATTGACTTTAGCCATGTTAATACAGTTGATTCAGCCCCTGCATGCTCATTTCATTTGGGAAAGACGCAGAGGTGAATTCCCCCACTGCACCCCTCCCCTTCCTGTTCTTCATAGACACACGGTGCACGTGAACGTTCTCAGTCAGCAGGAGCGCCTGCAACTGCAGGGGGCGCCAACTTGCTGTTTCCAATCCAGACACTGTCATATGACAGATAATAGAAAACCTCGGCGCGGCGCAGATTTCCTTTTTTTTTTTTTTTTTTTTACTCAGCGCTTGTGCGCCCCTTTTGTGTCATGAAAAAATGCCGCCCCGGGCAACTGCCCTGTCTGCCCGTGCCTAAAACCGCTACTGATTTTAGATCAAACCTATATTAGTTAAAAATGCATGTAGGACTCGGAACTATGGCTCAGACTTTTTACTGCGGCTGTGAGCACAAATTTCCATAATCACTGAGCACACCAATCACGACTAGTGCCAGCAGCTGCCCTAAGACGTTGTTGAGTGATGTATGCGTAACACGGTTGTTCACTGTTTAAGAGGACAGAAATGTGATTTTCTTTTATTCGTGACTAAATTCCTTAAAAAAAATGTAAAACTGAAACCAGTTTTTATGGTAAAGAATAGTTACATTGAATTTCTACTATTTTCATGCAAAGTCTGGCCGATCACAAGGACAGTTAGTACAATGAATAAAAATTTGTATGAAATAAAAACACAATACAGAACACACAGCTGGTGTCTGGGAAATGTAATACTGCAAGTTGGTTGTAAAGTGAGTTATCACAAGCTGTACTGGATGTCAAAGGATTAGGATTAGAGTATAGAGTTTACGTTTCCAAACACGTGATGGGTTTACAGGAGGAAGAGAGTGTGGGGAGATGCATAAGAAGAACAAGAAAGAATTCTCAGTTTTTGGTGTGTTTTGTGTAAATGTAATATATACAATAATTCAAATGTAAATATAAACACAACAAGAAAAAAGAATACATAATTTCAAATGAATGAATCAACAAATGTTCAGCTATTGTTTTCTAGAGCCCTTGGAGGATCGGGGCTTTCATGATTGCTAACCTCCGCTCCAGAGTATTTTCATCCAGCTTTTGCTCCACTGATTCAGTAACTTCCGTAGCACTGGTTAACCCTCTCTGGCTCAAAATAAGTTTTGATAAAAGGACGAGCAACTAAGTCCTTCAGGGGTACTTCTGAGTTAAAAAATACTCATGAAATATGTATGTGGAGAAACCAGGTAGGTAGGTTTTTACGTTGCAAATCTGTAAGGCCTGCCTCCAGAGGGTTAAACTGGAGGCCAGCTCACTGCCAACACTGATTTGATCCTCAAGCTGCATTTTAAGATCATTGAATTCCCCCAAAGCCACGCTGTGTTTATTATAATAAATTAACTATTATGGGATAAATAAATAAGCTTCAAAAACTTCAGCTATCACAAATCTAAAAAATGCAATATTGTTTGCTGATTTTAAATTATGTTAGAATTTTTGCTGATATGCAAATTGGCCATTATTTGCTGAAAATTAAAGCTGAACTTGCTGAAAGATTTTTTTATTTATCAACTAGAAAATATTCCTGTAGAAATTTTAAAGTGGCCATGCATTAAGGAGGCCCAACCTCATTATTGTGGGGTGATTTCAGGGTGATCGTCATAAACTAATGAAATTTGGGTGATGTTGGGGTGATCACCCCAACTTGAAGTCATATCACACTTCCCACAGCCGAGCCGGTCGTTTTGATGTATCATTTGTGGGGGTGCACAGAGCCGTTCGAGCTGCATTAGTGTCTGAAAACTCCCCAGGTGGAAAACAACTGCATGACTGCTGCTGCATTACATCCAAAGCAGTGACGTACCCTTTGTGATGTAATAACAATGTAATAACAATGGATGTAATAACAATGTAATAATAATGGATGTAATAACAATGTAATAATAATGGATGTAATAACAATGTAATAACAATGAATGCAATAACAACAGACTATATTAATTCCATAGATTCCATTTGAATGACATCACAAAGGGCAGTCACACCACAAGTGTTCTCTGCGGCTGCCTTCACTTCAGGTCCAGACATCGACTGACACACTTCAGATCTCTCTTTCTTTCTGACACTTGGCCTTCACTTGTGCAGGAAGCTTTTCTTCGGTTGCCTTTAGATCAAACTTCTCTACTCTCTCTACTGCTGTTTGTCAAGCCACAACTCTGGTTCTGGGTTGGTGAAAACCAGTAGTTCACTAAGTGTTTTTTAGATTACAGTACTGCCGGAGTATTCTGAACAAAAGCCTGCGTCGAAGATTTGTAGAATATACAGTTTGATTAGATTTTCATAGAAAAGAAACACAAAGCTTAGACCCATACACCATTTTTTTTCTTCTCTTATCCAGGGCTACCTCCAGTTATGCCTACAGTAAGAGGGGAAAGTCCACCTCTAATTAGGCATCATTTATCTCATCAAAAGCGTCCTGATGACTTCTGTTGGAAATTTACAGAGACAATGTTGATTAGTCTTCTCCATCACTTTTCTGCAATAGAAAATAAGGAAAACCTTTCAGACAGAGAAAAACGTTTTATCAATCAGATTGTTTTTCATGCAATACAAAAAGCAAGCAAAACCAATCCACTACTTCTGACTTCAACGCTTGATAAATATAGTTACCGTTATTTGTTTTTAGAAGTGCAGAAAGAAATACCTTGTGCAAAGCTTAGAAATGTGGTTCGTTTAAATGATAAAGTCACAGCAGAACAAATTGAGGTCCTATTAGCTAGTCATTTATTAAAAATGACAGAGTTTAGAAAAAAGCATTTGGAAATTATTTCAAGAGTGGCAATTTTCGTTTTAATCGCGGCCGGTTTAATCATAATGTTTTTGTGCTTTATTCCTAAGAATCTCATTTCACTTTGATCTCATGCCAGTTTCTCACCCCTTCATGTAAGAAGCTGTATAAAAATTCGAACAACAGCTCATAGTCGAATCTCCTCAAACAGAGAAACACAGAGCGACAAGCTATATTTTTGTGCTTGAATACAACCTTGCCAACAGATGACTATTAGGGTCAAAAACCCCTGAGAGGGCAAATTTTTTAACAAGTAATTCATCAGATAGTTCAACCTTCAGCAAACTAACAAGCACATCAGACTCCCTTTCATCAATGGCAACAAGTAAAGAGGTAAATGTGTAAAACAATGTTTATAAATGGTGAAGATTTTGTAACTGCTTTTTACAAATCAGTAAATGGTTTTCGTCCTCATAGGCTCACGCAAAAGGAAACATGGCGTCACCCAGAGGCTTAGGCTACTTTCACACTGCAGGCCTTAATGCGCTATTCCGATTTTTTGAGTAAATCTGATTTTTTTGTGTGGCCGTTCACACTATGACTGAAATAAGACATCAAACGCTCTCCAGTGTGAACGGTTCATGACCCCAAAGCAAGTCACGTGTGCAGAAGACAAGAAGTTTATCCACAAGAGGATCACACCTGTTAATTCTTCCGTTTTGGGCAGGAAACTGTTTCAACCGTGAGCTGACCTCAAGTTTAACCAGTGCTAAAGAAGTCACCGAATCCCCTGAAAGGGCACCCTAACATCACCAAAAGATTTATTTTCCATTTTTTTTACTTATAAGACTCAAACGGCAGCCTGCACCCCCACAAATGTCACATGAAAACAACCAGCTCGGCCGTGAGAAGTGCATTTTATCACTCCCAAATCATCACTGATGTGTTTGTTCACGCTACGTGTTCACGCTACGCTTCCAAAACACATCGTCTAGACTACTGCAAGTCCCTTCGATGAAATGAAACGTCACGGACGCCATCGTCACTCCAAGGTTTATTTAATTTTGTCTTTACTTAGTTATGAGGCTCGAACAGCAGCATGCACCCCTACAAATTATATATCAGAACAGGCTTGTTTTTGGTGTGGTCACAACACGGTTTAGTTAGTTAGTGAGTGAGTGAGTGAGTGAGTGAGTGAGTGAGTGAGTGAGTGAGTGAGTGAGTGAGTTAGTTAGTTAGTTAGTTAGTTAGTTAGTTAGTTAGTTAGTTGTTAGTTAAATCTACTTTATTTGTAAATCGCGCCTTACAGGCAAAAAGATGCCACCAAGGCGCTACACTGATCAAGTAAAAAACATAAAACATTAAGTCCAGAAAATAAAAACATTGTATCACAAGATACAGATAAAAATACAGTGAGTGCACAAATCGCTATAAGTAAAACAATAAAACTAGTTAGAAAGGTTAAAAGACAGATCATAAAAGTAGGTTTTTAGCCTTGCCTTAAAAACCGCCACAGAGGCCTTATGTAAAGAGGAAGCTTGTTCCAAAGCTTAGGACCTGCCACAGCAAAGGCCCTATCACCACGTGTCTTTAGTTAGTTAGTTAGTTAGTTAGTTAGTTAGTTAGTTAGTTAGTTAGTTAGTTAGTTAGCCAGCCAGCCAGCCACCGATATAGTGGATGACTGCAAGTATGACTTGGACATGCCCCAGAAGCGAGGGAACGCTATCATTACGTTTCAAGTCTACATTTTACACGCTACGCTTCCAAAACACGTATAGATCGTGCCAGACAGCAATTCAAGCACAAAGCAGTGTGAAACACATCCAGAAGCTTTCAAAATGAAAGTAACATGCAAGTAAACATAGAGGTCATTTACACAGGAAGTTTACCGCTCTTCGCTGGCCCCTTTTATAAAGAGCTAGTCACTAATCTGGGTGTATCATTCATCCATTCACACACACACACATTCACATAGTGAAGTGGATATCCAAAGATCTATCTAAAGAAAATTAAGCTCAAAGAAGCATGTGAATCAGTAGCAGACAAAAACAATGCTGTCTAAAATTCCGCCCAGGTGGTGATGTCACAAAGCCACTGGGCGGAATTTTAGCCTGCATTCCGCTGTGCCCCCTCAGGCTCTGAGGGGTAAAGAAGAAGATGGAGGATCAACACCTATGTGTTGTAGTGGGATCTATTACTGCAACACATTCTCCCACCTGTTCATCCTGTTTGCTAGCACTACATAAGCTATTCATGTCTGGTGTAATGCTAGCAGCCAGTGCTGCATGCTGCTGTGTTAATATAGATTATAATTTAGTGTAATGTGTCACATGGGCAGGTTTTCCTCTACATGTAAATGATTGTGGCGGTGCACCAGAGCTAAAAACAATCTGCCACACCTTCACAATTACGTGTTTTCCTATATGTTAAAACAATGTAAAACATAGGTCACAACAGAGTGCTACGACACCCGGCACGCCTCCTCACAATGTGTGTTTCGAGACTCGGTCCTGCATGTGAAAAAAAATAAAGTTGTGTGTCATGTCCGCATTCCTAAGGCAGTGTGGAAGGAACGAGGCCAGGCTGGGGCGGACAGAGTGGAGTCGATGCTAGTGTGTAAGTATCATCTATAAAGCACAGAACTTTGTTAATGTGACTATAGATTTCCTCTGGTCACACGAGTCAAACACGGTATTATTTGATTTAAATGACATACGTGATGTTTTGTCCTCGGTGTTTAACATATGCGCTAAATGTATATTTGTAACAAATGATTTACAGCGTTAACTTTAGGGTCACATGACCACCATGAACGTATATTCTAAAAAACTCACAGCAGCTCAGCAAAAACAAAGTCCTCGAGTCCCTAAACATCCAGACTGGAGCAGAACATGAAAACGACTCATAAATGATGAAAACTTGAATAAAATATGTGGAAAAACAAGAGCTGAAGCGGAATTCACGCATTGCCATGGAAATGCGTTCTAACTAAATAGCACCAGCTATACAGCTTTATTCAAACAGCTCATGGTCTCTATTTTAGTCTGATATCGTTGTAGTTCTCGTAGGCATGAATGAATGAGTATTGCTCAGTCTGGATGAAGAATGAGGCTCTGGCCGTTCCTTCCATTCTCATTTATCTAGCATCGATTAACGGGGCTGCCTATGGACACGCGTTAGCCTAGCCTGACGCTCCTCGCCTGGATTAGAGGGAATTTAATCCACCTGAGAATCGTTCGTGGAGCCGGTGTTGTACCATAAATCAACTGGCTGCCAAAAAATGATTGCCACCGCGGGATCGCGCACGGTTAGGGCAATTGCATTTCTAGACAAAATTCCCCAGGATTTCGCCTTAAAACTCAGCATATCTAGCAATATGGACATTGAGAAAGCAGAGATAACCTCGTCCGGTACTTAAACAGATGTTTATCGCGAATATTAGTTTTTTCCTGTTCGGAAGTTGTTTTAAATGTTGCTATTTTTCTTAAACGTTCGCAATGAGGATATATTAATCCTTTTTGCAATATTTGCGATTGAAAGATGGTTTGTGGTAAGAACTGGCTTTCTTTATGTTACAGCCTTGATACAAAAAAATAAATAAACAATGTAAAATGGCGCCCTGTATTGAATGTAAAGTAAAACCTTGTATAAATGGAAATAAACAATTCTCCAGCGATTTGATTTTTTCCCCCTTCTTTTCTTTAGTCCACTTGACATGGAGCCACGGTTAACTAGTTTGGGACACATTTTTACTAGAAAAATAGTATTTAAACTGATCAAGCTTTGGCTTTAATGACACTGTGTAGGTTACTATCTATGCATTACTTTGCTCTATTTAAAAGTACAAGATAAAAGCACTTCAGCACATAAAATTAAGATTGTCACTAGCCAAATAGAGACTATACCCTCCTGTTTACCTATAAGGACAGTGTAATCAATTTATGGCAAGGGAAATGATCATTTTTTGCCATTTTTGGGGTTTTTACGAATGTAGAAGAGACCCAGCATCCTGTGATGAGACTAATAACATCAAGAGATAATAAATAAAGTAATATTTAGGTAAATTTAACCCTTTACAGGTGACCAGAACACTGTAATCAATTTTTGGCAAGGGAAATGATCATTTTTTGCCATTTTTGGGGCGTTTACGATGATACAGTAGATAGTATGAGTACAATAACATAAACAGATAATACATAAAATCCTTATTTGGTCAGTTTTAGCCTCCATGAAAATCTGAGCGATTCAATCACTTTTTGGCAAGTAAAATGCCATTTTTGTTGTCTACAATTAAATCATCAGTAAAGAATTTAAAGATATTTTGAGGCGTTTCTTATAGGTAAACAGGAGGGTATAGTCACTATTTGGCAAGTGACAATCTTAATTTTATGTGCTGAAGTGCTTTTATCTTGTTACTTTTAAATAGAGCAACGTAATGTATAGATAGTAACCTACACAGTGTCATTAAAGCCAAAGCTTGATCAGTTTAAATACTATTTTTCTAGTAAAAATGTGTCCCAAACTAGTTAACCGTGGCTCCATGTCAAGTGGACTAAAGAAAGGAAGGGGAAAAATCAAATCGCTGGAGAATTGTTTATATCCATTTATACAACGTTTGACTTTACATTCAGTACAGGGTGCCATTTTACACAGTTTATTTATTTTTTAGTATCAAGGCTGTAACATAAAGAAAGCCAGTTCTTACCACAAACAATATTTCAATCGCAAATATTGCAAAAAGGATTAATATATCCTCATTGTGAACGTTTAAGACAAATAGCAACACTTAAAACAACTTCCGAACTGGAAAAAACTAATATCCGCGATAAACATCTAAGTACCGGACGAGGTTATCCCTGCTTTCTCAATGTCCATATTGCTAGATATGCCGAGTTTTAAGGCGAAATCCTGGGGAATTTTGTCTAGAAATGCAATTACCCTAACCGTGCGCGATCCCGCGGTGGCTAATCATTTTTTGGCAGCCAGTCGATTTATGGCACAACACCGGGGAGCACTTCGTCATGCGGGGATTTATCAGGAGATCCCCGATGTTCTAAACTCGCTTTCTGGAATACTTCCCTGGCCTCAACACAATGGATGGGGAGGAACGGGGCATGATGACACAACATCCGTTCAACCATGCAGTAAAAGTGTGAACAGGTTACATAAATAATGGTCTTAGTTTTAAACTTTGGCATTAAAAGTGGTGAGCATTCCTTCAGCAAAGGATAAGAATTTTATTTACAGAATAATTTCTTGATATGTTAATAAAAACACACAGAGAGAACCCTGAGAATGAGGTTTTTATGTTCACATCAACATCCAGGTCACACTTCACCTGCTTTGAGAAAATGCTTTCAGACTTTGCTGCACTTGGACAATGTCTTCAGAGGAATCACACACCTCCATAAAATGTAAAAATCAAACGTCCTCTCCACGTGTGTCGAAGACCAAAGGTGATCTCCTCCCAAATTGATTTTCATCAGTAGAATATTAATTATGAACAGATGAAAAACACCCAGGCTCGCTCCTCTCCGACTCCGCTGAAACAAAATCAATAGAAAACTTTATTGTTTTATTCTCCGGGCGTCCAACAGTTTATGTCCTCTAAAGATCAATAAGACTTTACTAAAGCTGAAAGCAGGCAGGGGCTTCTGGTTTGAGAGGCCTTCTGATATGAGCAGTAAAAAGCACATGTCCGCTGCACCGAGGGTGATTTTCTAGGAAGTGTTCACAGAGCTTTTAGAGCTTCCCCGAAAAAGAAGAAAAAAACTCATGGCTCAAATATTTTATGTGCACATAAATGCATCCCCACATTTATCACAGCTTCAGACAGGCGCCATGTTGATGATGTCACAGCCCCGACTCCATCAACAGTCAAAAATCATGTTAAGTTTCTCTAAAAAGGGCCTAATCCTCGGCCACTTAATTATATGCAGCCTTAGAAGTAAGATTGGTGAGATGACTAGAATGTGCCAAAAAGAGATCATCCATGTTTCAGCACAGTCAGAAACACATCTGGACAAACTTTTTGATAACTGTCTTAGCAATCGATGTCTATAACCTCTACAGGAGAGATAGGGATAAATATGGTGGGGGTGTAGCTATACATGGAACACAATTGTGCAGTCCTGCTAAGAAATGATCAAATGTGAGCTGATGTTGAAATAATGTGGCTACTGGGGAGTGGGAATCTTCAGGAACATCACGATTCGATTCAATTACGATTCAGGGAGCTACGATTATTGATGCGTCTTTCTCCTCCCTCACCTGGCTGCCAAGTGATTACGTGAAAAACATTTGTAATGATGAAACATTCATTTACTTCCAGTATCTTTTATTAACATGAGTATCAGTGCAATGTTTTAAAGAAAAGAAGTGTTGTCATTAACAGCTTCCCAACAAAATAATGCTGTATGTCCAATTCATTTGAACATGAATAACTGTTCTTTTTCTAAATGTAAATGTGATTAGACAACAACATTTTGAGTATAAATACCCTTGACAAGAACTTCAATTAAATGTATAAATAAATGCATAAAACAGGAAAAAAATTGCGTATGGACGCAAATCTCTCGCATTAAAACTTGCTATTGTAATTCTGTTCGCCTTTTCAGAGTTTGGTGGAAATTTTAACAACACCTGCTCCATAGTTCTCTGGTTGGTGACGGCAGCCGCAGCTACCGGCGTCTTTTTCTCCTCCTCCGGGTGAAAACAATCAACGTGGTTTCTCGTGTTTGTTGTGTTTCCAAAATATGTCAGTTTTGTTTTCACAACGTGAACACCATGTGGCTTTTGTCCAGGTCCCTTTTCCCCTCAAACTCATAAAAACCAAAGTAATTCCATACGCTTACTTTTAATGTTGGCGGTGCTGGCCGTATTCCTCAGTCAGCCATGTTGTCCTGTCCATACTGTAACCTTTCCGTCCAAGCACCAGACTTCCTTTTAGCTGAGTTCCACTTTTAGCGCCTCGTCATTAATAAAATCGATTTTTTACTTTTTTTTTAATCGATTGATAATCGCTCATGTTCGCATCTCGATGCATCTAAAAAACGAGTTACTCTCCCATCCCTAATGGCTACAGATCCAAATGTCTCATTGTAAGCCTGTTGCTGTTATAGGCCTCTGTCACGGTCTGCCTCTATCAGCAGGTGAGGTAACCTGGCAATCAGCTGTTTGTGTTGCAGGTGGGCGTGGCACAAGCTCCATCTGATCCTGATTCCGCTAATCAGAGGGCCAGGGGATTTCAGGAGCGGTGTGACACAACTCCAGCGCCGGTTGATACTCTCACCAGGGTAGCTTCTAGCCCAGTACATTATCTGATCTTCCAACGAACTTGTTCTATGAGATCCTGTATGCTCTTGTTTCTAGTATCGCGCCTCACATCCTCTAACCACGTCTGGAGTTGTTTTCCTCGTCCCGTCGCTCAGGATCATCTGGCCTCCACTCTCCATCGCTCTGCCTGCCAACCTACACCCTGGACTCACACAACCTTCTCCTGCCCACCTCCTCTACAACCATCGGACCTGCCGCCTCTCCTCCACTGAACTTCACCCAGTCCACCACCGCTAAGAACTGGTTTAAGACGTAAGAGCAATTCAAACACCAAACGTATAATTCTCTTGGTCCTCTGGTTCCGCCTCGTATTCACGATTGTTTATTCTTTTGTTTTGATTTCCGGTCCGTTCCTGTTCCTGCTTTTCTGGAGCAGCCCCCTTAGTTTTTCCTTAGCTTCATTTAATAAAATATTTTACTCTGTTTACTTGCCTGGTTTTCATGTCCTGAGTTAAGCACCTAGCCCACAACATGACAGCCTCGTTGTAGGTCTTTAAAAAATATGTAATCCTGATTTATTCACATTTGACATTAATGATAAATGATGTTCAAATGTTTGCGAGGAACAAAATGTAAATGTCTCTCAACATTTTCACGGATAGACTAATGAAATTGGTGGAAAGCTCCATGTAAAATAACAGCGCACCTTGGTTGGATAGCGAGTGGAGATCTCTGATGCTTCTAAGGGACAACGCTAAAGCCATTGCTCAAAACTCAGGGTGTTCTGTAGACAGGAACACTTACTGTTCATTGAGAAATAAGGTCAGACCAAGAAAAAGAGAAATGAGATCACAAAACTAAATCGCAGCAAAAAGATTATTTTAAAGATAAATCCATAACTCTAATTATAGTAAAAACTGTGGGAAAATATTGAACATGCAAAAGGCCAAATCATCTCCAAAATGTGTGGAAAATGAGGGACAATTTATTACTAGACCACATGATAATGCTAATTATTTTCACAATTTTTTCACAAAAAAACTCAACAATTAAGATCCCACATGGAAATGACTGTCAGTGACTCGTGTAAACCATAATATAATGTAAGGGGAAAAACTGTCAATTTAAAGAGCAAGTCACCCCCAAATCAACGTTTTATTTATCTGTCAAATAGGTCTGTAGTTTTTTTCTATGGCAGCCTGTCTGATAGTATTGCAACATCATCTGGTCTATCACAAGGCCACTTTTATTTTCAATATGTATAAATGATCTTCCATATGCTGATGAAAACGCTGGTGTGGTCATGTATGCTGATGACGTCACTCTCTTCATTGCTGCGTCAATAATACCTGAACTGAATGAGTGTCTACAGCTAAACACAGCAGAGGACTGGGTGAAGATGACTACCTCACTAAATCTGCACATTGAGGGGGTGGAGCAGGTCACCAAGTGTTGGGCGTTAGATTAGAGAACTTATAGTCCTGGTCGGATCACCACGCAGTCAGTATGATGGGCCGTATCTGCATATTGTTCACCCACTGTTTTGATAAATGTTGTTCAAAGTCTTGTTTTATCTCATTTACAGTATTGTACAGTAGTTTGGTTCAGTGCAGCCCAGGAGCATCTAATAAAACCACAAATGGCTCAGAACAGAGCAGCCAGAGTGGTTTTGAACTGTCCTCTTCGAACTAATGTGCACGAGATGCATCTCTAATTGTCATGGTTAACTGTGGAGGCAAAAGCAGAATACAGCCTTCTGATGTTTATGCAAAAAGTTACGACTAATATAACTACATCATTTTTAAGAAATAATATTACTTAGTGGATAACGCCTTGAGCACATAACACGACTAAGCAATAACAAGGTTATAGTCCCGAGACCTGGAAGTAATTTTATGAAGAAAACGTTTCTGTATGGAGGGACTGTTGAGTGGAATTCACTCCCAGGTAGTGTTAGGGAAATCCAAAATCGGAGCACTTTTAAGAAGACATAAAAAAGGCTCCTGCATAGAAAGCATGGTCTGTTATAGTTTAGTTCTCACGGTGAGCAGACAGCAGGTTGTCCAGTGTATCGGTTGGCCTTTACAGCTTTTAAAACTGTAAAAGTAATATTTTTTAAGGTTTTAATCGTATTGCTAAATGTATTTTGTATTTTGAAACAATGAACCACATGAAGACTATCAACCACTGCTGTGGCAGCTAATGGGGATCCAAATAAAACAAATAAATAAATCTCATAATATTCTGCTTCTTGTTTGTTTTCTGCATGGCTATTTTAATCCTGATTTCAATTATCTCGTTTGATTGGGAAGCACACATGCCACCAAGTGGTGGAGATGAGAAAGACCGCTACGCAAGTGGGGACCTTACATCAGGGGCTCTCGTGCGCCATGCTGCTGGCCATTCTGACTCTAACCACGGAAGATGTTGGAGCTGCAGCTTTTCTTACCCTTTCCTGTTTGAACCTTTTTATTTGTGAGAGCAGTTTAGAGAAGAGCAGTCCTTGTTTGTTGTTTTTATCTAAACTACTTGATCCATTTTCTCAGATGGGCAGACAGGTTTGTTCTTTTCTCTCTGCTTTCTCGGAGCATGGGTGACGTCCAAGTCCTCGTCCATCCCTTCTCTTATCAACTGGGAGACTCAAGCTGAGCCTGATCATGTTGCACCCTCCGTCTTGGCACCAGTGAGGACGCGAGGAAACACTCCAGGTAACCACAGCGGGACCTCGCCATCTCCGCGCGCGCATCTGCAGAGGACAATACTGCGGCAATGGAAAGTCTCTCAAATGAAAGTGACATGTGGCAGCTCAACGACTCCTGGAGGAACTCGAGTCTTCTCAACGGGACCGCCGGGCTGAACCAGACCAACCCCCTGAAGCGGAACGAGGAGGTGGCGAAGGTGGAGGTGACGGTGCTCGCTCTGGTGCTGTTTCTGGCGCTGGCGGGGAACCTGTGCGTCCTGCTGGCCATCCACACCACCAAACACAGTCAGTCTCGCATGTATTACTTCATGAAGCACCTGAGCATCGCTGACCTGGTCGTGGCCATATTTCAAGTTCTCCCCCAACTTATCTGGGACATTACCTTCCGCTTCTACGGGCCGGACATCTTGTGCAGGTTGGTGAAATATCTGCAGGTCGTGGGGATGTTTGCCTCCACTTACATGTTAGTTTTAATGTCTGTGGACAGATGTCTGGCTATTTGTCAGCCTCTGCGGTCTCTGCACAGAGGGAAGGATTGCTTCTACGTGGTTTCCTCCTGGATGCTGAGCCTGCTCTTCAGCATCCCGCAGATGTTCATCTTCTCGCTGAGAGAGGTCGGTCCGTTTGGGTCCGGGGTGTACGACTGCTGGGGCGACTTTGTGAAACCTTGGGGAGCCAAAGCTTACATCACGTGGATCAGCCTCACCATCTACATCATCCCCGTGGCCATTCTGAGCATCTGCTACGGCTTGATTAGCTTCAAAATATGGCAAAACTTTAAACTGAAAACCAGACGTGAGCAGTGCATCAACCTCACGCCCAAAACCTGCAAAAGCAACACGCTGGCGCGCGTGAGCAGCGTAAGGCTCATCTCCAAGGCGAAGATCACCACGGTGAAAATGACTTTTGTCATTGTCGTGGCATACATCGTCTGCTGGACCCCGTTCTTCTCTGTCCAGATGTGGTCTGCATGGGATCCAGCTGCGCCCCGTGAAGGTAGGCTGAATTCAGGTTTATTATAACAAGCGCGCCACGGCTGCGCGCTTCGTTACGCATTTGGAAACGACGAAACTGAAGGCTTTTGTCACCCAGTGGAAGAGACACGATGGGACAAAAACAAGGTGGTGCGCACTTATTATCCACCTCAGGTTGTTGATTCTGTGGTAACATCTGGATTTCATGCTGGGCAGTGTCATCTCCAAACAATTCATCTGAAAAGTATTTTTCAAGCAGATTAATTTCCTATTTTTTACTCTGCGGCGGGTTTTGTACTCAATGGTATTGATTGAGTATTCAAAAGCTGCAGAGGCAACTTTCTTCTGAGCATCCTAGCGCTGCAGAGACCCATTGATGGCTAATCATTAATCAAATCAGTGTGCGTCACCGCGCATCAAGCAGCCCTAGTGCCTTTGTGTGTGTGTGTGTGTGGGGGGGGAGGGGGGGGGGTTGCTGACATTCAACCAGTGACCAGCAGCCTCCTCTGCTCAGAACTGGACACACCTTGCAAAGACTTCCCTGTGCCGGACGGCTCTGCAGGGGCGCAGATAGGATTTTCAAACTGGGGGGGTCAAAGTTCCAATGTACCCTCGCCCAAACACATACACACACGCACGCACGCACGTACACAAACTATTGCAAGCGCCTTAACTAGAGCTCAGTCAGTTTGCGTAATTTCATCCAATGGTTTACGTAAAAACTAACACTTTTATATACGTGTTTGAAGCCACTATGCAGTGGAACGCTGGTAACAAAGCTCTGCCTGATCAACACTATCCAAATCAGTCATTTATTCTCCCAATCAATTACTAACCAAAACCTCATGCTTTATGCAAAACATTAACTGATTTTCAGCATACTAATCTTTACAGAAATCATAAAAGCCCTAAAAAACTGCTCATAAAATATATTTAAAAAATGAAATTCACTTATCACTTAGAGCAGTGGTTCCCATCAGCCTGACCAACAGATGTTCCTTCGTATTTTATGTTATTTAGAAATTTTCATTACATTTAGAAAGTTTTTATTTATATATGAATATACAAATCTCTTTTTAAATTTGATATTTAGCTTTTTTTAATGATTATGTGGCACACTTGACTTCCATACATAACACATCGGCATCTGCCTCTTTTTACAGCTTTTATTTTTTACATTGTCGCTACGTCTGTCACGTTAGCGGTGTTTTTACCATCATTTCTACATCCATCACGTCCCAGAGAAGGTTAAACCAACATCAAACCCAATGTTTGGAGCTTGTAAACTCCACACACTTCTCGTGCAGCACCAGCTGTCTGATGCTGCAGCAGCGTCAATCGTTCTGCCTGGATGAGTGAATTTCTTCATCAGAGTCAATATTCTGCTTCATAATCAGAGTCAGTCATTACCAGACAAAGTGATCAGTCAACAAAGTCCAGACCTGCCGGCAATTATACGTTTTATCTAATATTTGCGCTCTTCATGTCGCGCACCTCTCCTCCTCTCCCCGACTGCGAGCCTCTCAGCGGGAGACGTTTTTCAAACTCAAATCTTCCAAACTTTGCTCAGCCTGAAGGTTAAACATCTCCACTATCTTCTGGTGTAAAGTAGTAACTTCACGAGGGATCATATTTGTAGATGAGACTTGTTAAAGTCAGCAATGAGGCTTTGGCGATTTTAACGAGTAAGTCCCAACAATGACAACAATGTACTGAAACTAGAACCAACATGCATAAACGGACAGATCGGTCCCGCCTACTTACACTGTTGGTCTTTTTTAAATACGCCTTTTTCGCTTCATCCTGCATCCTAACAGCAACCACTTTTGTGCCTCTAGAGTCAGTGTTTGTTTTCATCATGCTGCATTCAATGAAATTGGAAAAAGGAGCTTCAAGCACTTAACCTCTGATTTTGTTTTCTTTCTGGCCTTAGTTGGGGGGGACGGATCGGGGTTGATCTGAATCTGGGGGGGACAGATCCCCCCCCCGTCCCCCACCCTATCTGCGCGCCTGCGACTCTGGCTGGTTTACAACTGCTCTTATGACCTCATTTAAAAATTTTAGAAGTGAATAAATTAATACGAATTAAAATATTTATTTATTTATTTGCTTTTTGCAGAGGTAGGCTACTGAACATTATAAGGTAAATAAACAGTTTTTCAGATTTCCTCCTTTCAGCCTAAAAATAATCATTATTGTTGGTTTCGGAGCAGAAACATTTCTGTAACCAAACCCAGGGGGAAGATGTTTTCCTTTATTGGATTTCTGTAAAACTGATCCCTCTAACGACTGTTTAGCGTAAACCAACACTTTACGCTAAGGTGTCAGCCACGCTGATGTGTTACAGGGAGCGACACATGCGTGATGAGGAGCTGATCGGCTGTGACGCTTCTCCTCTCTCTGCCGTGCGCTCAGAGTTAGAGATGAGAAACAAGCTAAAGGCCTTCCAGAGGATGAATAGAAAAGAAGGTGATCAATCTGTTTCCTGCTGCTGAGGCTGCAGGGAGGAGGCTGACGTCTGTGACACGTGCAGGTGTTTGTGTACAGAAGGAGAGCTGGGTGAGCAGATAACAGAGTCAGTGATAGGAAAATGAAGCTCATCCAAGAGGAAAGACCTCTGTTAGAGTCTGTTGAGTCTCTTTACAGCAAACTGAGAAATAAAATTACATGTTTAAACTTGATGGTTCATTTGAAAAAAACGACTTTTTGCAAAGAAAACCTTCACAGATCAGCTGAACGCTTTGGTCAGGTTAAAAACAAACTGTTTGAAGAGTTCCAACAGAAGTTATATATATGAAAGATTCATCACATCCAGTCGAAGTTCCCTGAGGTCCTCCTGGATACATGAGCTGGTGTAACTCTGCGATGACGAGACAGATTGTGGACACGTGGGGACACTGGTGTCACAGACCATTTCCCAGTGACATCCTATCTCCACATAAATCAAAATTATTTTACTTCTTTGTTTTATATTATTTCATTATTTCCTAATTAGTTTATGTATTTATTCCTGCTTTCTATTTTAAAAGGCTTGGGCTCTTGAGGGTTGAGCAGGACAGACTCAGTGGGACAGACTCAGGAGGACAGAGTGAGTGGGACAAATTCAGGAGGACAGACTCAGGGGGACAGACTCAGGGGTACAGACTCAGGGGACAGATTCAGGAGGACAGATTCAGGAGGACAGACTCAGGGGGACAGACTCAGGGTACAGATTCAGGAGGACCGACTGAGTGGGACAAATTCAGGAGGACAGACTCAGGGGACAGATTCAGGAGGACCGACTGAGTGGGACAAATTCAGGAGGACCGACTGAGTGGGACAAATTCAGGAGGACAGACTCAGGGGACAGATTCAGGAGGACCGACTGAGTGGGACAAATTCAGGAGGACAGACTCAGGGGTCAGACTCAGGGGACAGATTCAGAAGGACAGATTCAGGAGGACAGACTCAGGGGACAGATTCAGGAGGACCGACTGAGTGGGACAAATTCAGGAGGACAGACTCAGGGGTCAGACTCAGGGGACAGATTCAGGAGGACAGATTCAGGAGGACAGACTCAGGGGACAGATTCAGGAGGACCGACTGAGTGGGACAAATTCAGGAGGACAGACTCAGGGGGACAGACTCAGGGGAAAGATTCAGGAGGAAAGATTCAGGAGGACAGATTCAGGAGGACAGATCCAGGAGGACAGATTCAGGAGGAAAGATTCAGGAGGACAGATTCAGGAGGACAGATCCAGGAGGACAGATTCAGGAGGACAGTTTCAGGGGGACAAATTAGGAGGATCAGTTCACGAGGACAAATTCAGAGGGACAATTCCAAGAGGACAGACTCAGGAGAACAGACACAGTGGGACGGACTCAGGAAGACAGATTCAGGAGGTATTAATCTCCTGATCAAACTTGTCAGAAAGATTTCTGAAAACGTCAGAAGACGGGGACGGGCTTCGTTGTCTTCCAGGTCTGGGACGGGTGATTTAACAGATGAAGGTTATTCCTTGACTCACACAAATTCCAAAGAGAAGGAGAAACTGAGTGAAGAAGAAGGAAACATCTCCCGGATGGCCTCAGAGCTGACTCACACCTTGTGTGTCGATTTGCATCAAGAGCTTGACGAACACGTCGCTCAGAGTTCAGTCCCCGCGTCCTGGATTACTAACGGCCAGCTGTGTGAGAAGTTCAACCAGCTAATGCGTGTGGACCATCCTGAACGAGAGTCAGAGTTAAGGATGTGCTGAGCTGGAGCCGGTGGCTCGGGTCAGCACCAGCTCTCACAGCCGTACTGATGTACCCCTCGGGGGGGGGGTGATTAGCCTGTCGTTTCATTTGCTGTGTGATCTATCACTCCCCAGTGAAGGACACCAAGAGCCAAATCAGCAGCTCTCCTCATGATGGTGCTCCCATTATTCAAATTAGCTCCAGCCTGCACTCTCCTCTGCTCTGATAATAAATTCCCGATAACTGCCAGTTGATCTTTAGCACCGTGCCCCTTGCACTACATTCCAGAGGTGGATTATAAAACCTATGACTCTGTGAAATAGGAAGCACTGAATGTCTCCCCCAGCCTGACCCTTAGAATGATCATTTTACACCAGGTTGTATTAAGATCTCAGCGACAGCCCCGATAAGAAGGGACAGGAAACTGGAAAATAACTCTACAGATTAGCAACCTATAATTCGAGGTCAAACACAGGATACAAACCAATTACATGAGCCAAAACTCATTTGCCAAATGTCAGTTGGACAGTGGAGTTGGCAGTGTAAATGTCATCCTGCACATCCGGTTCACCGGTGTAACGTATCGCCACAATCCTCTCACGTTCAGACATGTTTACAGGACTCATGCTGCTGCAGCCGGTCAGCATCTTCTTGTTTTATGTCTACTCTATCTACCGATTAGGGGGTTGGGAGGTGGAGAGGTGGAGATCGTTTTGTCTCCAATAAGGCCGATTCAGAAAGCCTCTGGGTAAAGATGCAGCCTTCATTAGAACGTCCAATCTGAGCGTATTTCAATATAGAAGA